ATGGCAGCATCTAATGCTAATGGTTGTGTAGTATTATGTTCAGCAGACTGTGTTTTTCTATTGTTGTGACTTAGATGAATTTCAGAGCACATTTTATGACCAATTCATGCAAAACTCCACGTAATCCCAAGGGGTTCACATACTTTTTCTTCCAACTGTAGGTGGATGGAGGAAAGAAACAAGGATCAATGAAGGAAGCCAATAAAGCCCAAAAACTGTAGTTAAGGAGAATTAACACATATATATGCATCTAAGAGATTTAAATTTACTAGAGGTAATCAGTGAATATAGAAGACAGATGAGTAAAATAAGAGGGTTAAGAATGGTGAAATGCAAATGAAATATACTAGAAGGGGAAATAATATAAGGAGAACAGTATCGATTGGTAATTACTATTAGAACAGGAAGCTTCTGTTCGTATTGTATTGTGTAAATGTGGTGTACGTCTAAGTTTTGTGTGTGTGTATGTATTTTGCGTGTTTGTAAATAAATAAAAATTATAAAAAATAAAAAATATATAATCCGAAATGACCATAAGATTAAAAAAAAAGGAATGGAAAAAGAGAAAGGAAAAAATCTTCAGGCTCTTGAATGCCCTAATCCAATTGGTTCCAGATGTTTAAAAAGAAAAAAGTAAAAACAGGTAAATCACAATAAAATAAAATAAAAATCTTCAGGTTCTTCTTTACCTTAATCCAATTCAGTGGAGCAAAATGACAAAATCCAGCAGAAAAAAGGAAAGAAATATATGTCTGTGTATAAATCCAAAAAAAGGCAAAAAATAAAAACAGAAAAGGAGCACTCCCTCTTTAAGAAAAGGAAAGGAAAAAGCCAGACTTCTTCAGCAAAAGGCCTCAGACCAGCTGAGAATAGCTAAGTGAAAAAGAAAGTAAGGAAGTAAAAAAAAAATGGAAAAGGAAAACACTGCAACTGTATAAAATCCAAGGCTCTTATGTTAAGTTCCAAACAAAATTGGCAATTCTCTTTTTCAAGGTCACTGCAATCTTCCTTCTTTGAACTCCAAGTTTTCTTTCAACCCAAACTCCACGCACTGATAGCATCCCAAAAGAGCACCTGTATAAACAATCCATGCTCATCCCACTATCATTCAATAAACAGGCTCCGCGTCCTTGAAATGTAATGCCAAGTATTAACTTTTCTCTAAACAGTCATACTAAAAAAAGAAAACAATGTTTCCAAGCCTCTGGGTGGCAGTGTTAGTTATTTTCTTCCACTTTCCTTTCCTTTCCTTATACTAAAAAAAAGGAAAATGAGATTCAAAAAAGAAATACAGTAAAGCATTGAAAAGGAAGTAGAGGGAAAAAAGTCTTAGACAATAAAAATTGTTATACAAGTATATAAAAAAACAAGGAAAAAAAAAGTCCAGTTAAAAAGTAGAAAGTGTTTGTAAAAATCCAGCCAAATTCCAGCAATAAAAAGGAAGAAAGGAAAAAAAATCAGTTTGATTCTGGCTTAATCTCGTCAATTAACCTCTTCAGTCTTCAGTTTTAACTTTACATTTAATCTTTTAGGGTGTCCTCTCAAATAATAATGAAGAAAAATTCTCTCATGAGATCGACACACTTTCATACTTTCTCTTCCATTCCGGAGCTGTTCCTGACTTCAACAGCTTTGATAGCTTCCTTGCAGCCACCAGAAAAAAGGGCTTCTCTTGGATCAACCAGGGACTTTGCAATGTCCCTGGGACCAGCAAGATGCGCCCGTCTCTATCACCGTCTCTACGGGACGGTTTAGGCAGGAGTGGGATATTAATGGTATATATCAGTGATGACGAAACGTTTGGCACTGAGTGCTGAAAAGGAAACGCACACGCTCATCCAGGCCACAACCTGGAAGAGAAGCTGCCCACCAGAAAATGAACTTCTGGTTTCTAGCGCGTGCATGCATGCTGGTCAGCTACTCTTCCTGTTTCTGGTGCATGCAACAATCAGCTGGCCAGCACACATGCTCCTGCCGGAAAACGGAAGTCCAACTCTCACAGTTACCGGCATTGCCGCATGCACCAAGTGATCATTGTGCGCGCATGCGCACCAGAAACCCGGAATAGGAATGGGCGACACCGCACATGCTAGGTGACATGGCTCCGCATACCACTTTGGGCACACGTGCCATAGGTTTGCCGTCACGGGTATATATAAATAGAAAGAAAAGGTTGGATTTAAAGTCAATAGATATTCTTCTGAACTGACCAATATTTTATTTTAGGTATTCGTTTCCACTTCAACAACCAGAATGCTACGGGACACAAATTAAAAATTCTGCAAAGCAGACACTTTACTGCAGAGAAGAAAAATACACCCCTATTCAGTCGAGAATTGCTTTCCAATTCCAAAATGTGGAGAAAGGCAATGTGTGCCGAGAGAAAGACCTACCTTCTTTCTGTAAGCATTTCGTAGAATTCTCGAATGTCCTGACCCGTTTTCTCCATAGACTGATAGAATGACAGTTGGCTCTCGCGGTTCGCAAAATCCACCTGAAAGATAAGAATTACTCAGGCAGGCCGTTCTCCTCCATTTAGGCTAATTGCCAGACATGAAATGTGAAAATATTCCTGCACAGGTTTACTCCCCCAAATGCAACCATGAAAATAATGGGGAAAGCCAAATTCAGGGGGACAGGCCCCACCCCAAACTGTCCTCAGCAGAAAAATAAAACATCTGCTGCTCTGGGGAAGATGCTAACTTTCATAGAAGCTTGTCAGTTAATGGAAGCCTCACAGTTTCATCTTGGACTGCTTGATTGTAACCACAGGGACCCCATCCTGTGGCCCACTGAAACAGGCAGAATATTCTCAGCAGGTGTTTGTTTGGCTA